CACAGTTAAAATAAAAATGGTTACAAAAATAAACAGCTCAATTTCAACAAATTACCGCTCAACAAATTGCGTTAATAATTATCTTTGCACAGCGCAATAACGTTTACAAATAGGGGTACATTTAGTAAACAATCACAATTTATTACGGTGACCATGCGACATGTTTAGATGGAACACCTGAAGAACTATTTCGGTCGAACCAGTTGCGCGGGCGCATCGTTATCGCGCAGGTGTCCGTTGTAGGGTGGCCAACAACTCGCATTAGATGCTATTTATTAAAATTATTGTAAATGAGAAAACAAGCATAAGCAATTTGTTTTAATTGGTCAATATTTGTTTAATAAATATTATTATTCAATTATTGTTGTAGTTGTAGGGTTAAGTGTACGCCGTTTTCTATTGTTTTGTGACAATCTAACGCCGACCAATAAATAATTGTTAGTTCACAACCGACATTCAGCTTTACTGTTCTATGCACACTGGCCAGTCAAATGAGATAGGGCACAAAAGCTTTGCCCCTTACAAATGGTTTACATTCAAACAAATGTAAATATTTCAAGCGAACTACGACTATAGAACTGTTACTACCAAGAAAGAAAGGTACCTCAAAAACATATTACGATTTTCCTCTCTTAAGGCCAACAGACGAAAAATTGGTTTACCACGACCATACAATTTGGATGACGACAGGATATGAAAATTGAAAATATAATTAGTCCGTAAGTTAGGTAATAAAAAAATATTAGACACGTATTTTTTTATTTTGTCGTATAATAAAACAATACTTAGGTAAAACGAACCTAAGTTTAGAAATTGGGGCTAAAACGTCATTTCTACGTATAAAATGTACATAGAAGTGACGTAACGCGACATTTCAAATGAATAGTTATATCGACGAAAGTATTCGTTTCTGTAAGAAAATAAACAATACATGTCTAATGATTTAAAATAATCTACCAGACGGACATTAAAATAAAAATTAGGCATCTACCCTATAACCACCAAGCTATTTGGAAAACAACAGAAGTTTAAACCCGTAACTATTTCATGGCAATTTGGCTAACACCTTATATATAAATGTCCTTAACTCCCAGAATTTATTCCATAGCTCCCAAACTATTCGAAATAGGTGTCATGGTTGAAACCATAGCGACAGTTTACAATGTAGTATGCAGAGCACAGTTACATGTTATCCCACGGGACCTACATGTCTTAGTCAAACCGGATCGCTCGTCACACACTTACTACTTATTCATTGGTGTTTAGGTCTAAGGTATGAACTGATTGCTTTACAAAACGTAGGACAATGTCTCCCGGTGTTTTTATGTACATATATTATTATATCAACAGTTAAGTTTCCTAAAGTATTTCCATTTTTATAAAGCCGTTTTCTCCTCCTTTCTCGTGATTTTATGAACAGTTTTCTGGTCTATAAAAAACTAAACTAGACTAAACAATTTTCTATAGCAAAATGTTTTAAGAATTTTCTGTTTCCAAAATACATACTTTTTGTTGTTTGACCCTTGCACTTTACAATAGATCCAGAGTTTTCTAAAATTCGTAGCGTGGTGTATGATACATACCTATTACCTTTTTGTTAAGACATTACAAACACAATTAAAGAACAATAGGTTGCGGTCAATGGTGTCCTCGCGGTGTTTGACAGTTTAAATCTGACAAAATTGTATAGTTACCAATGGAGCACTTCAAGCAACGTTGCAGGAAAATAAATCGAAAAAACAAATACATAAAAGTTAAAGTATCTTTAACGTGAAATACGACGAAAACAGTTTATTAACTTCGAAACATTCCTACGTACAAAGTCAAACTCGTAAACTAATCTAACATTCTGTATAACGTTAATTTTAACCGAAAACTTTAAAACAACCGTTTGTCGAGCGAAACGGCAACTCGATTGAATTTTGTATTGGCTGTTTGTTTTGTTTCACTTCAAACTGGATATAACTTGTGAACGCTTAATTTCTATTGCATTTGTTACATTTTGGGATACTAATACAATTCCAATTCTCATTAGGACATTCAATTACCTAGCACTAAATATTGGAACTGAAAAAACTATTGGAGAAAATCTAATTCATTTTTAATATGCTACCTTACCTACTAATGCGTGTGTAAGAAGTTAATATGTAAACATATTTTTATGCTTTTGATAAGAGTTTCCTAACATACAGTATAACAGCATCTAGTAACTTACAATACAATCATCATCATAGCCTCACGCCTTTTATCCCCGAAGGCCTTTATATACCGGGCACAATTCCAGACTCCGTGCTACTATTGTGATTTTTTTTAAAACCCAGTAAAACTTTGCCTGACGCGGGAATCGAACCCGAGACATGCAGTCGCACTTGCGACCACTCGGCCAATAAGGCAGTCACTTATAACTTACAATACAACAATTTTGAAAATTTGTCCTATCTTCAACCAACCGCCACCGCTTATAACTCGTCCCCGATTCCAATGTTTGTCCACAGGGCGCTCATTACACGCGATAATGACCAGAACTATCTGCAAGTGTAATACGATATCGCAGCCATTGTGCCATGCTTAAAAATACAATCGGCAGGAAACAATACTTTATCTTTTAGTACCACAGTCACGACCCAAAGATATCTTATGGACTAATCAACTGCCATCGCAGGAATGATTAACTATTATTTGTTTTGTGGCTACATAATTATGTTCGCAAAAAGTTTTAGCTTATTTAGCTAGCACGAGATTTAAAATGATTAAGTCGGTTGTTGGAGTCGATTCCACTCAATTCTATGCGACAATAGTTATTGAAATATTCAATATGTCTTGGAAAAAATTTAAACACTTGAAAAACAAATGTTGTTTCTTTTAAAACAAGATGGAGATTCTAAAGTACTATAGTAAATGAATAGGGGAACAGAGCAGTATTTTATTACGATCCAGCGAGTCGTATCTTCACACCTGTACAAAATTTAAACACCTCAACTTTTCAATTAACGTTTAACAAATTGCAGCGCCTGCCCTTCACTGTTATTAAATATTCATTAGATTAAAAGCAACACTTATTTACCACTTTGTGGTTCATTTTGTATCGCACTTTGTGCCTTGAGATATAAAAATGCCTTCAATTACAACGAGTTATTCCAGACATAGGTATGTATTTTGAAAATTCCTTCAAGTTATGTCTTCGAGTTGGATTATCCTACAAATAACGCTATACTTATTTTTTTTAAGGGGGGAAAATCATGGAATGACTGCTCCCGCCTGGGTGAGGCGGGAGGGAGTGTCCGACTCTTACTGACTAAAACCACCCCGTTCCTTCTCCTGCACGTCGAGCCGGAGCCCCGGTAACCCGTTAGGTTCTCCGCGACTAACTTAATAATTAGGGATTTTGTTACGTAAGTACTTTGTATAAGAACCATTATCATTTATGATGTGTCATAACCCAATTAAGTTATTTACAAGAATTTACAATTATTTCACAGGAAAACCAAACGATATGGGAAAGCCAAGTGATTGTACAGAAATACAATTCATTGATTTAAAATAAATAATACTATAAATAATTAAGTTTTATTCTTCATCATAATAATTTTATGTAACAGTTCAACTGGTTATGAGTCATGTTTTAGGTCTAAAATTGACGGACTTTTACATTTGCATAGTGAAAAATCAATGATGAAACCCAAAACAAGATCATAGCGAAAATTGGAAGGAATGAAGTGCCGAGGGGAACACGACTAACCTATCACGATCAAATACAACCGTATACTTACTTTCACAACTCGAATTCAGATGTCTTCAAAATTACTTTGATGAAACTGTAAAAGTCGACTGAGATTCCTTAGCGATGGGAAAATATTCTAGCCGATTTTCTTGCTAGGTACTTACTTAGAAAACGTATCGGAAATCCAAAGGTTTTTGGAACTAACTACTTAATTTTGAATCTAATACGGCACAAAATATGTTAACCGCCTCAAATATCCTAGGCCATTCCAAATTCTAAGAATGCAATTATTCTATGTGAATTGAATACAATCGCCTGTTTTAACATCTTGACCGACATTAATGACAAAACTTACCACATATTCGTGCACATAACTCGGTTTTCTCGAAAACTCGCATCGTGATCGTTTCAGTCGTGAGTCTCGAAAAACCCTTTGATGTGTGCCCGACGACTAACGAACTATGCCGACCGATAAGCCCAACTATTAGTCGGTCCAACATGCCGACAGATGTCGTCCCCCAGACTAATCAGCGTAACTGTTTACAATGACAACTTGTGCATTGGTAAACAACGTTTGAATACTGATTTGCCTATCAGGACAGCATGCATATTTTTATTAGGCAATAAATAAGGTCAGGATTTCGACATCCCAACAAACAACTTCGATATGCTGAAAAGCGCACGGGTTCAATCGAAATCAATCAACTGGTGGCACAGAGCATAGCAAGGCATCGCAATGGCCCCCGAGTACCAGGCGCGCATAACAACAAGGCGTTCACGCTAGGTGTCGTTGGGAGGCGGGCCGACGCGCCAGACATTCCCTTTCCACCGCCCAATCGCTATTGATCCACACCGTCCCCCGCACAACGCCCGTTTCCTAGCTAGCAGGGAGTAACGCATTAGTGAACTGGGGACCATTGTAGTATGGACGAATTTGACAACCTCTCTCGTAGTTGTGGACGCCTGGTAAGTAAGTTGGTTACGCGGTCGCGCTTGGTGCTAACGAACCGTAAAGTGGCAAAGGGTTCTTCTGTTACCGCAGAAACAAAAAAAAAAGTATTTCCTTGCTGCTGCTGTTTTTAGTTTTACCTCTACTAATTTTTAGTTTTACCAAAACTAATAAATTCAAAACGTATTAGCTAGAAATGTTTTTAGGAAATACCAAATACCGAACTATGACACACGACCTGAACATGCATAATATCGGATTTTATAAAACAAAAACGAAAAAGGCGCCACCTGTCTAAATATTTCGTCAGCAGATAGTGACACATTTTACCACAAGATGGCACACGACGACACCGCGTTGAACAGTCGGGAAGAGGGCGACCTCTTCGTTCTTATGTGCTCCTGGTAATTTTGAGTCCATATTTGGCACTTTCATTTTGTTGTCCATGAGTCTACTACGGCCATACTACGGTTACTTACTAATGCAATGTGGACAGAAATTGAATTATGAAGATTAAACATTCTTGGCCGTTGTTGTGTTGCCATTCTCAACTGGCTCAATGACTCAACCAAATACTATATCTATTAAAATAATTTTATGAGCAATATAATTAGGTACCTACAAATATTAAAATTATAACAAAAAACATATCCACAATAATTTGTTTAAATAACACTGTTTATATGTGATTTATTTTTAAGCAATTGCCTACACATTAGAAAATTTAATGTTGATAGAAGTTTCAAATAATAAAAAAACTAGTTTTTGTATAATGAACTGAAATACTTTCAACAGTAAACGTAGGTAAAATTGAGGAGTGAAGTTATTCAGAAAATACAATCTCAATCGGATTTAAAACAGTCTTCCAAGGTTCAAACCGACCGCATCATGGAAATAAATCTCAGTTTCAGTAGTCGTCTGTTTTTATTGGACTTGCAATTACTCCATCTAATTTGGGAGCATTTAAGAACCACCAAAACACAAAAGCCCGCCACACAGGTCGCACTGGCATTAGCATTACAAAACGGCTGCGGGCCGTGAGATATGGGTCGCAGATGCGCGCCCGCGCCGCGCCGCCGTAATTAGTGTAGGCGCAATATATAATTGTTTCATTTCACTAACGCCCATCCCTCTTACTCCTGTGCAAATTGTTCGCGATAATATTAATCGCTTCTATATCCACGCAAAAAATCTAAAGCACAATCAAAACATTCTCAAACTAAAAATGATTGCAAAATATTTTGGCCGCCCCAGAAGCTGCCGGCACACAATTAACAGATATCTAAGCCCATGTACTAACATTAAACAATACTTCACAAAATCTCAAGATCTAAACGTCGTCAAGTCGTGTGGGAAAATAATCTCAAGCGCAATCTACATCCGAGCTAGGTCCTAATTAATTTAGTAATCGTTCGTGACGACTTATTCCGGCCCTAGACCCAACCACGAACCTAACGAAATCACGACTCCGCCAGACAACGATAATCGTTATTTTAAATTTATTAAAATGTCCTCTTTAAGGACTATATCGGAACGCCTATATCGGACTGTATAATTTATTCTTGCTTTGGAGGATCGCGCTAAACAATGAGGGCTATTATCATTTCTAGAGGTGCACGTTTTGATTTATAAATGCACTGCAATATCATCCTTGTTGAAAACCGATACTCGTTGTTTTGTTTGTGTTGTCAAATAGCTTTATGGAGGGACGTCTTACTTTTTATAATCAAGTTTTATCTTATTTATTGATAAAAGTTTCCATTAGAGCGAACAGAAATTACGTGAGCACTATTTAAACGGAGTAGAAATAAGTCAATGTTTACTTTATGGATTACGTTGAACACTGTGATGCTTTTAACAATAACAGCGAGTTGCTGGTCGGTTGGAGCGGTTAGATTCTAAACAACATATTGTCGGCAATTTTCATGACAAAGTCGGCACAATACAACGGCATGCCGACAACAAAATGCCGTCGTGTCGGTCTGACGGCCCCTGGGGCGTCGCAATTAAAGTCCCGGTTGCAAGAGGTGATAGGTGCACCGAATTGATGAGCGGGCTTATACATTGATTAGCTTAAGATCATGTACACATTGGTTCTTGCTGTCGTAAGACCCCATTGAGTATTGAGTAATAATTTTTGCGGGATATCAAAACTAGAAGTTGCAAGACTGTTAATAGAATAATGTATTAGTTAAGTTAAACAATGTTGAAGTACTTTGTCACTTAAACACAGTGATCTAAATTCGCATTCAACAAACGTCAATCAAACAATCATTCATAAATACAACGCATTAGTTCCTTAAGCTCATCTACGTTAACTTGAAGCGCTGTCATTCAGTAAAGCACGTTTAATTGCAAGGGCAAGTAAGGCTGCACGTTTTAAGGGGCATAACATCGCATAACGAGGGCGGATGCGCGGGCGCACGCCTAACAAGTAACAACAGGGCACGCCGGCGACTTTGATACCCGCTGCGCGACAGGACCGCTTGCGTGCGCGACCCTGATGTGGCGCAAGATTGAGGCGATTCAGCACAGCCTTAATACTGAGACATTTTTTACACGTTTCAGAGATTTCAATCTAAGGATTTTTCACTAATCTGTTACTGGTTTATGAGATATTTGTTATTTGGATAGTGTTTTAATAATATCAAAATAAAAACACAACTAGGTATCGCTATAGGTATCACTAAAAATAAATATTTTTAACATCGATTACTTACTTTTTGTATTTTGGCAATGTGTGACTGTGTAATGCTATAATCAACAATTCTTAAGAACGTGTCAAAAATAACCAGAATGAGACAGACAGGACTTAGTTAATTAAAACCTAGAGTACCTAACTAGGCGAATTTAATTAATTCAAAACATCGATAAAGAATTACACATATATTTGGACGTTTCTCGATTTAAAATCACTAAAAATAACACACAGAAAAAATAACAAATAAATTGAAGAATTTTCTTTCCCTAACGACTTTATAAATGAAGCTAATTCCGTTCCCGGCGCTTGCGCATGCCTTCGCCATCGCTCACCATTTGCATCGGTTTCAATGGAGGATTTTGACGGCCATCACTACTCGAATCGGTGAGACGTTTGTACACGCATAGATTGACAATGTCTTGCCGGTTAATGAAGCAACCGATCGGTATTTCGACGAGGAATATAGGAAATAACTCGGTACTTTTATTAACATTGGTTACTTAGCTAGTTAGTTTGTTTTATTACAGAAGTAATATTTAGCTTCTATTTATGTCCGTCCGCAGAAAATAACTGCATCTTAATTCTTTCTTTCTAACCTTTTCCCAATTTGCTTTTGGTAAAAAGGTTTGCCTTTAAAAATGTCAAACTGTCTTTAAGTACGAACTTTAAACAGTTAACAGAGCAATTTCACGATTAGTTTTTTCGTAACAGAGTTCATTTCGTTTCGTCAAACACCAAACCAACATTTCTTTTTATGGAATAGGAGGCAAACGAGCAGACGGATCACCTGATCACATTGGAGAAAAGATATAAGTAATACCAAGAGCTAATAAAATAACAAAATAAACTATCTTCCTTCTTTTATGCAAACCTTTTCTTAGCTCGAAGAAAAAAAAGAACTAAGTAACAAACTTATCACAGTTCACAATGTCGTTGAAAACTTTGTTCTAGGTAACTAAGATTTTTTCACAAAGCACATCTAGGGTGCCTAGGGTATCATTTATATTCCTCCTGTGCGCGCTAATTATACTAATTGATCAATTCCGTACTTTATATTCGTAACGCGTAGACAAGATAAACAAGATAGGATTCCTTCCCAGTGCTGGCTGGTTAATATAGTTCTTATTTAAAAATCGAATGAAATCCTTTAATATTTTTAATCTGTACAAAATTTTAAATAGTTATTTAATATGCTTTTGGATCAAGACGCGGCTATTACTTAATTTAAAAAATACTTATTTTGAAGTCCTTGACAATTTTTATTTTCTTTTTGCAAAAAATAATGAATTAAAAACTGTGTTTTGCTTAGCTGTCAAATTGATTACGTCCCGACTTCTCGATTACCTATTATTTATAAATAATAAACAACTAATATCCTAATTTATTTGGGTTGCAATCAGAACTATGTATTCCGATCAGATTAAGATCACCGTACACAAAATTTTTCGTTAATTATCAAAATCGATTAGTTAGTGATCACTGCTGCCCATGCCGCATGCCGCTGCCTAATTTCCTAAGGGTTAATAAACGTGATTTTTTTATAGTTTCTCAAAGATACTGTCGCATATATTTTAGAAAACTACTATAATTGTCAACTAAAACTCTCATGATTAATAGAGTTACTTTATTGAACCGCCATATTTAATAACCGAATTGGATGTCAATTAACTAAAATCCTTGGATTGGGAATGTTTTTTGACATAAGTGGTTAGGAACTTTCTGTCAAATACCGATATCGATCCCTGAGACTTTGAATTAGTTAAGATCGACTTTATTAAAATCGACCGTAACGGATAAAATTATTGAACCATAGAATCAAAAATATTATTTAACGTCGAGTAGTTATAGTTCCTAAATAAATACAACATTTCATGTCGATAAAATCAAAAGTACGCAAATAATTAAGTACGCGAATAAAAAATATAGGTCAGAAGTCAGTACATTTTGCAAGGCGCTCAACATTGACGCAAAATAAAGCAGTGTTCATTGCGTTCCACATTTTTACTTTTGGAACACGAAGTAATAAACGTGAAATGTATGGAAGTAGTCCAGGCAGAATGCGGGACTCCGCAGGGAGTCTGCAATAGGGCGCGATATTGTAACCAACCCTAATCGAGATGGAAAATATTCATAGAAATAGTACAATGACAATATTTACAACACCTACGTAGTCAGTTACTGTCCACTAGTTACGATTGGCAGGACACTGAAGTCCAACACCACTCAATAAGATCGAGGATAGCTGTTCTAAAATTATTTACAGTGAGCAATCAATAAATATTTATTATTATTTATATTTTCTTCAAAGAATGAAAATAAAACTGTCCAGTAAAAAAACGATTCTTTTTTGGAATAAAATTTTTTGAAAATTCAAAATTGTAAAAACGCTTGAATTACGATATTAAATTTCATAATAACCCATAGTTATCAACTATTTAATTTTAATAAAATAAATAGTAATTAATTAGTAATAGATCATCTAAAAATGCATTTAGTTTAACAAATTAAAGTTAAATTTTTACAGATTACTTAATCAAGTGTGAGGCAAAGTTAAAAAGTAACTTATATAGATATTAATTACAGTGAAAATGATTGTTGTTATCCATAATAGACGAAACCACTTATTATTTCTTAACACTACGTTGTTATGCTCTAAAAATAACGATACCGTTTTGTACTAAATTAATCTCACAAGCACCAAAAATAATAAACCATAGCCTTCAGACCGTCAAATAAACATAAATTGAAGTGCGTAAAATGTGACTAGTGGCGCCATCTCTTGGACAAACGTGTATAAATTATGACAGCATTGACAGCTGCCGTCTATTTACATTGCATTTACTGATTGTTGAACTAAAATATATTTGTTTTATGACATACAATAACATGTGTGTTATGGTTTATGTTGTAATATATTTAATATTACGTTGTATGAAAACAATAAACTCGCTAATAACTATAAAATACTCACGAAACATAACCTTGTAACATCTGACATCTGTCAAAACTTTCATCACAAATGTTCACAAAAACACTGTAAATAAACATAAAACACAGTTTTACGGCTTCGACGAATGAGAAATTCTAACATATTGACAGAAAAAATGTATCTGGACACGTTTTCAGCAATATTCCATAGGTTTCAAGTGTCGGAAAAATTATAACCTCTTGGCCCAAAACACTGAGAGAATTTTATGATTTTAGCTTATTTTATTCAATAATTTTGCAGTATACTTTTAATTTAGGTTTAGTTTTTAAAATCATTTACAAATTCAATGGAATTCAAGCTACTTTGGGTTGTCTATAAAGACATTCATTGAACTTTGACATCTCACTGTTTACTTCCACTAAGATTATCACCATTTTATTGATTTTTGTATTTTCACATTGAATTTTAGTTTGATTAATTACTAATCGACTTAATTTACACTGTACTAAAGTTCTCTAGCAAAAATTAACATAAGAAATGCAATGTGAGGGAAATCCTAATGCACAAGTAAACAAGGAACTTGGTTAGATTAATATTTACAAGAGTTACTTCATTACTTGAGAATATCAGAATTTCATGATATTCTAATAATTTAATTTAGTTACTGAAACTACATTTTAAGTTAATTTTTGAACCTAGTGAAACTGGGAAGTGATTTAAGTTAAACTAAATTTGGCTTGAAACAACTCCGCACATAACAAATACTTAAACACAATTATTTCTCATCAGCTGGGCAGCCGAGGGGCACAGATATAGCTCAATCCACTTCTCATTGCCATGAACTTATACATTGTTATGCACTTTGACAGGCATGCTGGGTGCAAGCAGCCAGCGCTCCCTGACAACCCATATGGAATATTGCCAAAACCGGTCTCATCCACCCACCTTCTTCATAATCCCAGTCTTCCGTTTGGAGAATGTCGTGTACCGTCGCAGTTTGTTGTCAATGTATTCCATTTTGATCTTCACACGACCCTTGGTCTTTTTGCCATTGGAAGGTGGCGACTTCTTGGGCTGAAGAGAAGCATAGCCGTCGTCTGCTATGTCGGGCATGGGGCAGTGCTCCAGGCCGACCCCCTGCTGCGCTCTCTCGTCGTAGCACTGGTCTGAGGGCCGCTTGACTCCGGCGCGCGGCATGGGACAGGGCTGCATGCCGGGCCGCAGCCCGCCGCCGCCGAGCGCGCTGGGCGGCCGGCCAGCTCCGTACATGTCCGGCATCTCGCCGAGGATTCCCATACTATACGGCGACCCGAAGCGGGGCTCCCGCGCTCCGCCGGGCGCGTCCATGATAACCTCGCAGTACGCCACAGTAACAAGTGCGCACACGCGCTATGCACACCTCACCGTCCGAACGACGAACGGAGACTAAGTTTGAACCGAAAACGCGAAAGAACCGAGGGCGGGACTGACGAGTCGGCCGCTCGGACCGCGACTGACTTCGCGCGGCTGCGTCCCGCGCACCTCAACCTCTAGCTGTCTCTGTCTAGCGCGGCGCGTGCAATATCTCTCGAGGGGGACGGAAACGCTAAGCGCGGCCGTAACCCGACACATCCGTAGGAAAAGCGAACGTTCGCCGGGAACCCGCGAACATTTCAGTGCCCGAAATCCGTATTAAAATAGAGCTTTTATTTTGAGTTTATTTCGTAAATAGAAATAATAGAGTCGGAAGTGGAGCGGCTCGGGCGCAGCGGCGGGGCGGTGGGCAGTGCCAGAGCCATATTTAGACGCGAGCCGTGCCAAATATGGCAATCGCCGGTCAAATGGGGGCCACTGAAATCCCTCCTACTCGCACCTGGCGATTTTCACGTCTAATAATTAAAAACTTTGTCACGTCACTTAGGTATTGAATGATACATACATACCCATAGCTCATTACATTTACTTAGCGTATGAGCGTTACTTGCTTGTAGCTATTCCGTCTGTTGGATATTTTCAACTCGAATAGATATTTATAACATAACCCATTTACTTAGACATGCACAAATTTCCAGACTCTGTGATATTACTGAAAAAAAGACACAAAGGAGAAAGGTAAGTACGAGAATCGAATAGATTTTAAGAAGGTTATGAACTTACGATTGACGTTGTTAACACAACAGCTTGGTCGTCGAAACGTCCAGCTCGAATACAGACTGCATGCACTACTTATAATATGTATTAATAGGTACCTACTTAGGTACTTACGCGTTCTGTGTGAAAATTAGTCTCACTATCGAAGACATCGATGAGTCTTACTTATAGGAAGGATTTCAACATAATGAATCCTTACTTCCTTACTTACTAATATTATAAATCTGAAAGTGAGTTTGTTTGTTTGTTCCATTTTCACGCCGTAACTACTCAACCGATTGCTTTGAATTTTTGCAGACGTAAAGTTAGAAGTCCGGATTAAATAGTAGGGTACTTTTTAACCCGGGAAAAATTGATATTCCCGAGGAAAAACAAAAGTATTGGTTTGATGGCGCTGTGTGTATTGGTATATGCCACATAGGCTACTTTTATTCTTTTGTGATGCGAGCGAAGCCGCGGGTAAAAGCTAGTGTTCAATAAATTAGAAGTTGCATATAAATTGAAGACAAAGCTTCACGTAGTAGATAGACATACCTACCTACATACTTCAATAGAAATGTAGAATGTAGATACAACTTTGTATTTGCAAGTCTGTAAATCTAGAAAAGTTACAAGTGCGTTGATTGAAGACCTTTTTTTAAAGCTCCCACTTTAAGGGAGTTTCGAAGTGCACTCTTTTTTTAATATTCTATGTTTGAAATAGTTACGTAGGTATTTACCTCTATTAGAAGGTGAATGTAGGTATCATATAGGTACTTAAGTAGGTCTAAACTTATCTTAGGAATTATAATCTACATAGTTCTAACAAAAATATATAGACCATACCTCGGTATACACAGCTAATCTAATGGATAATCATCAATATTCAATCAAACATGGATGTAAACGTTGCGACATTGTCATATAATGAATATCTTATTAATTGATTGGTACGCATGCGTATGGCCCTCGGAAAATTGTTGCAGTGCATAATAAATAAGTACCTACCTATATTTACCTACCTACACTAATTGCCTAGGTAGGAACTTGATAACTTCTGGGGGCTTACTCTTGAATCCAATTCCGATCTATTGACATTCATCATCATCATCAACAGCCTATAAATGCCCACTGCTGAGCAAAGCCTCTTCTCACACGGAGAAGGTTAGAGCATTAATCACCACGCTTGCTCAATGCGGGTTGGCGATTTCAAACTTATAATTAGAAATTATAAGTTCAGGTTTCCTCACGATGTTTTCCTTCACCGTTTGTCAGTGATGTCTAAATAATCTTAGAAAGTGCATATAACTCGGAAAAAGTCACATTGGTACTTGCCATTGGTAGGTTTTGACATCATTGACATTGGTATTGTCAAATTTCGTACTCCCGAGTTGCAACACTAGCGCCCATTGCATCCGTATTGCGTGGATATTGAATGAACTAAATGGTATTGAGTTTGGCTTTATATTCCGTACTCTGAAAGCTATTTTAACAGCTACGATTATGGTTATATAGTTTTGACATTGAATCATTATTGAAATTTTGTTGATGACATTGAGATTGGTTTCAAGAGTAAGCACCCTGATCCCGATCACTATTAATCTTCTCTGTTATATTATTCACTAGATGTAATTAATACCTACCTGACATCGGATCACGAAAGAAGTAGGTACTTATATACTTAAGTCATCATCATCATCATCCACTATAATCATATCACAGCCTATAAATAGCCACTGCTGACCAAAGGCATCTTTCACATCTGCGTGGTCTGAGCACCGCCCTGTCCTCAGGTATATGATCGGCGACGGCGACCTCTCGCGTCCGGCGATGCCGATACAGAGCCGCGGAGGGCTTAACGGGATGCCGGGGCTCCGGGTCGAAATGCAGGAGCAGAAACGGGGTGGTTTTTAGTCAAGAACAGTCTGACACTCTCGCCTCACCCTGGTAGGGAAAAGCCATTGGATGATTTTCTCCCCACAAAAAAACTGTCAACAAACCTATCGTCAATTTGACATATTATGGACGTCTTTTTTTAAGAGGGGAAAATCATCGAATGACTACTCCCGCTTGGGTGAGGCGGGAGGGAGTGTCAGACTCTTACTGACTAAAAACCACCCCGTTCCTTCTCCTGCACGTCGAGCCGGAGCCCCGGTTACCCGTTAGGTTCTCCGCGACATTATGGACGTCAAGTATTATTAGGTAGGTACGTCTAATATTGTCTAGGTACACGACTGACTGACTTACTCACATTTCACATACATAATTAAAGCTTGTTTCTTGTGGTCGTCTTCAGAATGAAATGATACTTATATTACGAACTAACGGGAATTTTCAAATCAAAATACCCTTACCCTAACATGTGATTCCCCAATAAAAAGAAGTCTATTAATTACTATATAGTAAATACTTTCTTAGATAAATGTTGTAATTGAAATATATTTGTTTTAAATTATTGTCCACAAATTCAAGCCTCATTTGAAATGAAATATCTAATATCTAATCATCACTGCCTCGTTTGCCGAGTGGGCCCAAGCGCGATTGCCGGGCAAAGGGTCTCCGGTTGCATTGCCGAGTCGGGACTGTCTGGAATTATGCCCGGTATATGACAATAAGGCTCACCTCACCCCCTATTATATGGGACTCGTAGTGAAAAGTGGATATTACCTCTGAGTGCACCTCTGCCTACCCATTCGGGAATAAAAGGCGTGATGTTATGTCTCTAATCATCATTTCGCCACATGATCAAACACTTATCTTTTAAACGAAAGAACAAACCTTAGAAAATTATTTTTTAAACTGTTAACACTATAATCCATTCGCGGATTCATTTTTTAAAACTAACGGTAAATGCTGTACGAATTAATTGCCAGAAAAAAATATGACAAGACATCAGAATTAGACGCATGACTATGGTGTTGTTAGCAGCAGCAGAAATTTGTAAATTTTCTCGAATATCACTATCTGGCCGCCCACTTTCAGTGTATATTGCCATGTATTGCCTTTTTTAGTTCATTTTATAGGTTCTTACTCAGAGTTCAATAAACTCAACTACTTAGGTACATTGGAAAATTTGGTTTGTCATTTTGTTTAAAAACAAGCTTATTGTTAATGTACAAACCTAAATATTATTATGAATTACCTATTTTATTATAACTGCTTGAACTCATAACCTTAACCACATAGGTAAATTACATCAACAGAAATCTGTACCTTATTTAAACTCTAATAGAAAGATTTTAAACTAGGCATAGGTGCCTACTCTAATTGATTTAGAAGCACTAAGACTGCCTCGTTAGCCTATTGGTCGCAAGTGCGCCTGCTGGGCTAGGAGTCTCGGGTTCGATTCCCGCGTCGGGCAAAATATTATAAGGTTTTTTTTTAATATGCTCAGTAGTGGCACGGAGTCTGAAATTGTGGCCGGTATATGGCAATAGACTCACCCCCTATTACATGGGACTCATACTATAAATAGTGAAAAGTGGGTGTTACATTGGACAGTAGCATTAAATGCCGTATGTGCAGGGGTAGGCCCCTTCGGGGATAAAAGGCGTGATGTTATATTATGTTATTTTAACGTAAAGCTTTATTAACTACATTAACTAAAAATCGCATCATTACTCACGTGAATATACCTACTGAGTAAAGCTTTAGTAAAAATCGTAGCAAAATAATAATTAATAATATCTTTCTCCATTTAAAACATGGCAACACTCATACATAATAGACAAGGGGCTTCACACATGTCATACAATAACATAACTAAGTAATTGTTTATCTAATGTTATTTCCAATGTAGAAGTCGGTTTAATAATTAAATTAAACATTAAGTTTACGTGACTCTTAGTCCGTAGGCTATAAATATAAATGTATTTGATAAACAAACATACATACGACATGTATGACAGGAATAGTAAGTGAAGCTATGACTGCAATGACCGGTCGCCGGATATCCGATATTGTCAAATCCCGTTGTCTTGGACCTACTTCTCCATAAGCATAGAGTGGAGGTTCGTGGATTTAATAATTTATTGTTGCCTAGTAGGTTTTTGTTGTAAAGTTGATCTATAAGAATATATTTAAAAGACGGTGGCTGGGCAACTGGCTGCCGCGTCTTCGCGGGTACAATTCCCTCCCGGTACAACTCTTTGTGTGATCCATAAATTGTTGTTTCGGGTCTGGGTGTCATGTGTATGTGAACTTGTATGTTTGTAAACGCACCCACGACACAGAAGATT